GGCTATTTATAGTAACCTTTCTCAGATTTTGAACGATGTCGGTAAAAATTATCGTTCATTGACCGTGGTTATCGACCATATCACTTAATCAAATTATTAAGTTTAGGTACTCGTTCGACGCACACTTTGACGTTCCTAAAGAATACATTTTGCGCTTTGATGCACGGTTTAGTAGTAATACATGAAAAAAAAACCAGATAAATCTGGATTTTTTGGTTGAAAAAAGTTTTCTCTTGGTGACCCGTATTAGCATTTTAGTTTTTTATATGTCTAAACCCATATATAGGGTGTCTAGTAAGTAGGTGGAAATATTTAGAGGAGTGGTAGAAGAACTCAATAAATACAAAATAGTTTATATAAACAATGTTCGATTTTCAGCAGGAAAATAGGGAATAAAGTTTTGTGATTTTTTATGTGTCACGTTTTTTGTTGAATAGTAAATGATAAGAAAAAAACTATTTAATTTAAGTTATTAACGATTACTTCACTGTAAACTAGACAATTTACTTTAAAAATAGAGTTTGCTTTTGTTAAAACCATTTAAACAGGACTTTTGAGCGGCTAAACTCACCTAATGAGTGGGGGGAGATGGGTAGTGGGGGGAAACGGGTAGGGGTGGGGGGAGCACCTGATACAGAGGTGCACTCCCCTGAGAAAATTCCTGGATCCGCCACTGCCACAAGGCCTGACTCATGTGATGCTTTACAATTTCAAAAAGTTCAGAATCCTCTCGGCGATCAGGTAGTTCTGCTCTGATGACTAGGTCACGAATTAAACGAGTGTCAGGGCGATTGGGTTTTTCAAGCCACAGGAGTAAGAGCGCATGAGGAAGACTACGCTTTTGCTATTCAACAGAATACATGAAACATTGTAATGATCCGAATATTTGCTCTTTGTTTAGGAGTCCTATTAAACATTTAAGTTTCAAATGAAATACTGGAGAAACAATCGGTCTCTTGGTACTTGTCCTGTTTTCAGTTCACATTTGATTTCTATAGTAAGTACAGGAGACGTTCGCTCTCAATTTTGGAATACATATCTACCAGAAACTGATTAAAAGGTTTCCAAAACTGGTGGATGTGGTTGGGATCGCCTTGTTTAACCAACAAACGATAAGCGTAAAATTCACAGGCCGATGTTTTTATTTGTTGTTTTGACGCCGGTAGATGGATTTACATGGTATATATTGAAATTATAACAGTCCTCTCTACGGAAAAATATCAGAGGGTATTGTGGAGCATCATAAGAACGCTGTGTCTTACAGGCTCTGCTTAAATCCTCGGACCTAGTTCTAAGGACAATATCCCGCCTATCACTGATTTCCCCAATTATTACAACAGCCACTTAATTGACTGGGGGATCGTTGAATCGTCCAGCACGATCACCAGCTGGAGTGCGGTCTGCCTTAATGACAACTTTAAACCCTTCCTGATCTAAAGATTCCATTGTAGATTTAAGACTCTGGACGTAAGTGTTATGCTCGTCAAGCAAGGCTTGCAACTATTCAATTAAAACAGAGTCCAAAGTATTTAAATTATTAACTCTTGCATCAACTTGCTCATGAATGACAGAAATTAAGTAAATCTGCAGGAAGGAAGAACCCATGTTTTAAGTCAGTTGTTAGGTTTATCAAATTGACCTGCTCGAGATGTCATTCTATCAAGCTCGCCAGGTCAAATAAATATGGTCATTTTTTTTTAATTATTAAATATATGGAATGGGCCCTTAAAAAAAAAAATTTCACCCCAGGTGTTACATTTATAGAAAACTTAAATACTTCACCCTACTCTACCAGGAAAATTCCGACATCCTCCCACACTTGAGTCCCCCACCCAAGTGACACTGTTTCACTTAGTAGCCTTCACCTAGGTTACTACTCAATTCACAGAAATAATACATGGCCAAAATTTTGACTAAAATTGTTCACTCAAAATATAGAAAAATAGTATTATCATATTCATAGTCAGTCAAGTAAGTAAAAATTTGTTCCACATACAGATTTTCAATTTTAAATAAATATTTTACTTTTTAAATCTTATATCCCGGGACTGCTGTACAAACTCCAAAAAATTCCTACCACCTACATACTTCCTCATTATCCGTTCCTACCTTACTGATAGATACTTTAAAGTAAATCACAATAACGCCTATTCATCCCTTTTTTCCCAGTCTGCTGGTGTTCCTCAAGGTAGTATCCTAGGTCCTATCCTCTATACAGTTTATACAGCTGACATCCCTACCTGTCCCAACACTGTCATCACCACATATGCCGATGACACATGTATCCTATCAGTAAACAATGACCCAGCAATTGCATCCCAAATGCTTCAATCACACATCATAAATCTAGAAGAATGGTGTCAAAATTGGAGAATTAAAATAAACTCCAATAAATCCCACCAAATTACCTTTACCCTTCGTCGTAAACCAACGACTTCCTGTCCTACGGTTTCCTTTAACAATACTCCACTTATCCCTGTTGAGCAAATCCGATACCTAGGACTCCACCTGGACAAACGACTAACTTGGAATCCTCATACTAGACTGAAACGACAAGAAACCGCTCGACGTTTCCGATTACTTCAGCACTTACTAGACAAACGCTCTAAACTTCCCATTAATTACAAAAGACTTATATACTTGACTATAATAAGACCTATTTGGACTTACGGAGTTGAGCTATGGGGCTCCACTAAACCAACGAATTCCTCTCGCATCCAATCCTTACAATCCAAAATCCTTCGTAAAATCCTCAATGCTCCTTACTTTGTCACTAATAAAATTATCCATAAAGATCTTAATGTTCCTTATGTTTCAGATCTGGCCCAATCCAGATACCTATCCTTCCATAATAAACTTCAGAATCATCCCAATCCTCTCGTTTCTAATCTTGCTTCCTCTTCAATTCCTGATAACCCTCCGAGGCGTCTGAAAAGAAGATGGCCCCGTGATCTCCTAATGTAGTCATATCATTAGAGTGCTACCATTGGGTAGTTACTCAGCAAGTGTATTCATCTCATTATATCAATTATGTCCAAATTTACTTGATGTATTTATGTAATACAGTTGTAAATGTCATAAAGAAATAGAAAAAAAAATCTTATATTTTACTTATACTATTTAAACCTTAAATTAATTAATAAATAACTGTTGATATTCAAATAATTTATAACAGACATAAACAAAATCTAAATACATAAAATAATTAATTGTTTAAAAATTGTCTGATTGCAATTTACTAGGTATTTGAAAACGTGGATGAAATATTAATTAAGTTTTTATGCACCAGTAAAAATTTGAAAAAGATGTGCTGTTCAACTGATGGAAAAAATTATCACAGCTCAACGGGAAAATCCGAAATCCCGAACATCTGTAACATGTTGTCGCTTAAAACCGGTTCAGAACCCAACGGGAAAAGTGGTTGAAGCTTAAGCGGAAGTCGGAGATTTCGGTTTTTTCCAGTTGGGTTCTGAACCGGTATCTCAAGACAAATAACTCAAGAATTCATAACTTTGGTTCTACTCAATATTTTGTTTTTATTCACAGCCTGTTTTAAGTCGAACAAACCTAAACATATTGTAAAAATTTCAAAAGTCTACCATTGGCCATTGCTGAGTTTATCGCTGGAAAAATAACTAAAATAACATTAGACATTGAATCACCTTCATCCATGTAAAATTAGAACTTTATCTGAATATTGTGGCGGGTGGGGTGAAATTTTTAGGAGTTTTTTTTTTCTTTCAATTTCCGGCTAATCCGTTTGGTTAATGTATACAACAACATTTGTTAGGCTCGGGAAGTTGAATTGAATGACACCTTGAATGAGATGATCGGACAAAGTTGAAAAATGGGTGTGTTTTAAGCGACAACATGTTACAGATGTTCGGGATTTCAGATTTTTCCCGTTGAGCTGTGATCATTTTTTCCATCAGTTGAATAGCACAGTTTTTAAATGTGGCTCGCGGTAGAGTAGGTTGGGATGAGAATCGAAGTAAGTAACTGCCTAACTGGGATCTCTAGACAAATTACTTAAGAATTCATAACTTTAGTTCTACTCAATATTTTGTTTTCATTTAAAGCCTATGTTTTAAGTCATACAAACTTAAATATAATGTCAAAATTTCAAAAGCCTACCATTAGCCATTTCTGAGCTTACCCCTGACAAAATTGCGTTGGACAATGCGGATGTACAGGCAAAAAATTTTTTAAAAGTGGATTTGGTGTCTCTAATGTATGAAACGGAAAGATATCATGAAATGGCAAGATTCTATTTAATGTACAGACAAAACCTTTATTTGATTTATATAGATACGATATAAATATAACAACAGTCGAGGGCGTCGTTATAACAAATATACATTTATAATAACAAAGTTTAAAAGGTCCCTTAAGGTTATAAACCACATCTTGTGTATATTAATTTCAATTTGAAAAATAAATATTTACAAACTAAAAAAATTCCAGGACATTTCTCATTTTTCCAGGTCAGTTGCCACTCTATTGATCTAACAAATGACATTTCATTATTACATATTCAAACAAATGTCACATTAGAATAGAGCATTTCATTTAAGATATATTATAACTCTATTCTAAGCCAAATTACTGTTTACCTTTCATTTAATATACCTTTTTTAAAGGACTTCAATAAGTAAAAGTTAAACTTTTACCATAAACCTAGAACTTAATTGCAAAGACTTTCCTTAGAATTTTTATTTCAAAACTTTTTTACCTGAAAAGTTTCTAACAGTTATAATGGAACTTATAAAAAAGTTTTCTAAAAGTTTCAACCTCAGCTCTCAAATCGATTCCAATAGCGTATGGTTACAGCAAAAACTGTTGAAAGGCCCAAATTACAAAGGGGCCAAGCATTATTGAACAACAGATATAATTATCAGGTTATAACATTTTAATTTTAATTATTTCTCAGCAGGAATCATCTTACATAGGTCTATTAAATTTAAAAAAAATTGAAAAATGGTTCAGTTTATACAAACACACTCAAGAAAAAAACATTTATTTGATCAAAAATATGACAAAATGAAACTTTGGTGCTTGATAACCATTTACAATTAAATTTAAGTTTAGAGGAGCTTCAGCATAGTACAGAAGATTAGAGAAGTGGACAATATGTTTAGTTTGCTAAATTAAATGCCATTTTTAAGGATGTCTTTTCCCCTTTCTTCCAATTTTCCAGTTGACATAAAGCATTCAATCTCATCAATTCTGGAACAAAAGAATATTTTATTATTTTTTTTAAATAAAACATTATTCAATGATATGGACATTCAATGAAAACCAATTATTTGTACATCAACAGCAACTAAATTTGTAACAAGGTAATAATAACAATGGTATCTTGAATGAGCAGAATGTAAATGAAAATAAATAATTCTTCTTCTCAACACACTAATGGAACTACGGAAATCACAGAATGCACTGTAATAAAATCTACTAGAAGTGGCAGAATAATAGTAACTAAACCATTTAAAAGATTTGGCTTTTCAGAATTTAATTAAGATTAATGAAAGCAATTGACAAAAGGAATGTTGCAGTTAAATAATAACATTTGAAATAGAAATCAATTCAAGCTAGGAGTTAGGAATAGGTTTGAAGCTTTAGAATCTTCTGATAAGAACCAGCAATAATATTAAAGACTTTGTAACTCGTGTCTTCGAAAATAGGAAACTAAAACAAACAAACCATGGTTCAATGAAGATTATTTAAACGTGCCAAAAAAAAGTCTCTAAATAATAATTTATTGGGAAAAAGGACAATAAAAGAACAAATGTGGCTTAATGAAGATTATTTAAACATGACAAATAAAAGAAAACTGCTAAGTTGAAAGTTGTAAATAATACTAGTAAAAACAATCTTGAATACTTACGAGCCTTAAGGAACTATTAATAATAAACAATTAAAAAAACAAAAAAAAAAACTGTACCACTATAATGCAGTAAACAACTAATAATCTCAAAAGAATATATATTAGAAATAGATAATAACAGATTTGAAAATAATGTGAGAGACATGTATAAAAGTATAAACAAATCATGTGAATGTTCTGTAACGAATGGAATTAGTGATGAAAATAACAATATCCTTACTGATTAGGCAGATAATAATAATAATAATAACATTATTATTAAATAACTAAATTAAAAAAACAAATAACACACATAAAAAAAAAATGATAACAGGGCAGATAGACATTCCCAAAACGTTTTGTGAGGGCGTTACTGTGCTGATTCCCAAAAAAGTAGGAGATCAGTTGGACCCCCAAGATTTTCGGCCAATTACTTGCCTCAACGGTGTGTATAAGATTTTAACATCTATTCTCACAAGTAAAATTGAATTTCACTTGCAAAGCAATAATTTGAGTCCACACGAGCAACTTGGCTGTAGAAAAGGAGCCCAAGGGTGTAAAGAACTTTTGTATATCGATTCGTTCATTGCAGGCCAAACGACCATGAATAAAAGAAATTTGTCAATAGCCTCGGTTGATTATAAAAAAGCATTTGACTCAGTTCCTCATAGTAGGCTTTTAAAAGTTCTGGATTTATATAAAATCCATCCTTATATTAAAGAACTTCTGAGGAAATTGATGGACAACTGGAAAACAAGACTGAGAATGGGAGATAAGCAATCACCTGAATACATTACCATTTCAAGAGGTATATACCAGGGAGACTGCCTCAGCCCCCTTTGGTTTTGTCTTGCGAGGGCTCCATTGTCAATTTTATTAAATTGTGAAGAAAACGGATACAAAGTAAAATTTAATGAATTAAGTGCAATGATCAGTCATAGCTTTTATATGGATGATTTAAAACTCAACGCAAAGAATAAATCCCAGCTCCAGTCTATGCTAAAGACAGTTAGCCACTTTAGTGACTCCATACAGATGTCATTTGGGACTGAGAAATGCACAGTTCTTCACGTTATAAAAGGAAAACCAAATAATTCCGAAAACTTGTTCAATAAAGAATATCATATTAAGAACCTTCAGAAAGAAGATATGTATAAATATCTAGGGATAGAACAGCATTTAAAAATAGCTAGAAAGGATGTAAAATGTAAATTAATAGCTTCATTTAAAAAAAAAAAGACTAAAGATCATCCTTAGAACACATCTTTCCTCAGGTTTAATGATAAAAGCTATAAATACATGGGTTATTCCTTCCTTATCCTACAGCTTTGGAATTCTAAAATGGTCCACGTCACTCCAGGAATTGGATAGGTTAATAAGAACAAGTATGACGGGTTCCAGAATGCACCACCCGACTGCATCTATGGCAAGGCTTTACCTGCCAAGAAAGGAAAGAGGGAGAGGTCTTCCAAATATTGAAGAGTCTTGTCGAAGTCAAGAAAAGAACCTAAGGGAGTGCTTTAAACAAAGCGCAGTGCCGTGCCATAAGATAATCTGCAATCTTGATCGCGGACACACTGCTCTACAATTAGCCTCTCATGAAACTGCGCCAATCTCTATTACCGACAAAGACCGCCTGGAAGAATGGAAGTCAAAAGCATTACATGGAAGGTTTTTTCACCAGCTTTAGCTGACTGAAATAGATAAATCTTTGTCTGTTAGCTGGCTGGAAGGAGGAAGTCTGTTCCCCGAGACTGAAGGTTTTTCAACTGCAATCCAGGATCCGGTTATAGCTACCAGATCCTACTGGCGACACGTCTTGAAGTAACAGAATGTATCGGACAAATGTAGGCTCTGTGCAAGCACATATGAATCCATTCAACACATAACTGGAGGCTGCGGAACTCTTGCAGGTACAGAATACCTAAAAAGACATGATGATGTTGCCAAAGTCTATCACCAGGTGATTGGTCTAAAAATTAAATTATTAAACGACTAGGTGCCCTACTATAAATATTGCCCTAAAGGTATTTGCCAGAAAGATGGCTTAAAATTATATTGGAATCAATCGTTTATAACAGACCATTTCGTCATCCACAACAAACCCGATATTGTGTTAATTGACGGCAATATTAAGGTGGCTGAAATTATAGATATTGCTGTGCCAAATGACGGAAACATTAACTCAGTCTGTGCAGAAAAAATTCGGAAATATCAAGGTCTAGCAGCTGAGTTAAAAAGTTTGTATAAACTTAATAAAGTAACCGTTACGGGCATTGTGATCTCCAGCAATGGCCTGATACCGGTGTCTACTGTGGAAGCTACTGACAGGCTGGGCCTCCCAACTCATGTAATAAAGGAAGCTCAGAAAGCGGTGCTGCTGAATACTGCCAGAATTGTAAGAAGCTATCTCAACATTCAATAGAAATTAAAATAGAACATACCTGAGGTGGTTGGAGTTGATTTCTCCCCCTCTCAAGTAAACAAAAAACCTTTTGTAAAAGTGTTGACAAATAAAATATTATAATAATAATTTCTATAATAATAATAAGCATATAACTTCTGGATGCACAATAATGGCGGGTAAAGAATATTTACTGAGGCATAACAATGCAGCTAAAGTAGTACATCAAGCCATGGCCCAGAAGCTGGAACTGAGGGGTAACTATTGTCCTAGTTACAAATATCAGCCTGAATCAATCATCTCCAAGCATAATGTCAAACTATTCTGGGATCACCCTATACTTACAGATCACACTGTCCCACATAATAGGCCTGACATTCTAATAATCGATAAAGAAAAGAGAATAGCGTCCATTATAGAAATTGGAGTTCCTTCAGATGATAATCTGCACAAAGTAGTGGCGGAAAAAAAAAGAAAATATGTAGAATTGGCAGAAGAATTAAAACAACTGTATGATTTGAAGGAAAGCCGGATTTTACCATTAGTAATTTCATGTAATGGATTGGTATCGGAAGAATCTCAATCTTCTTTGTGTGAGCTGGACTTGCTGTTTGTGACAATGGAAAAAATGCAAATGGCGGTGTTGTTGGGAACGGCAAGTATTGTTCGTAAATTTACAAATGTGAAATAATTTTGAAAATATGTGAATGTAATATTTGGTTGACCGATTCGGTCCCCAATTATTACTAACAACCATGTAAAGTGTGAAACAAATAAACAAAATAATAATGCTTTATTTATTCTGGGACGAGTCCCTTTAGAATAATATAGAAAGACAATAATGTGAGCTTAGGAGCCTTAGAGATACATAAACAAAAATATAAAGTAATTAAATAGTCAAAATAAAAAACGAAATAATAGAAAAAATTATAAGTTACTTACTAATTTAGATCAGTTAAAAATAAAAAACAAAAAATTGAAAATAAACATGAAATAAAAATAATGAAAAACGCTCTAATAATTTATTGTAATGTCAACATTACATGGTATATAAATAGTGGCGCGAAAGTGGCAAGAACATGAACTACAGGGAAGAAGTGGGGGAAGCAAGCTCATGTGACAGAGACTGCGACGGGCCGCCAAGAGGGAAGGTGGTAGCGGCCAAGAGAGAAGATTATGAGCCGCCAAGAGAAGATGTGACAAGCTGTCAAGAGAGAAGCCAGCAAGCTGAGAAAATAGAAAGAACCACAAAGTTTAGAATGGGACAATAAAGATTTTTGAATGTATAATTTCTTAATGTATGTATCTCGTTTCTTTATATGTATTTAGTAATTAGTGTACATTGTATTTATTAAATGTTGAATGAGTGTTCAGTTGTCAGAACCCAACCTGAGAATTGATGTTATGTGTTAAAATAAATATTATATTCAAAAAGTAAAATCTTTGTTTGATTTATGTTGAAAAAGAGTACGTTACAATATGGCGCCCAACTAGCGTGGCTTTTAAAAACGTACGTAGTCACGACAACTGAACACGCAATCCTTTTTAATTTTTTTTTTTTTTGTTAATAATTTTTTAGTAATATGGAGAATAAGCAGAGAGAGAGATAATAGAAGTTAAAAATCTTAATAATATAATTCTTAGAAAATCTAACGGGAATGTTGTTAGTGTAGAAAATAAGGAAGAGTCAGTTGTACAAAGCCTACTTTATGAAAATAGACAGTGTGAAAACGGAAGTGAAAGTCTGTTGGGATTAAATAAAATAAATTAGTTTTGTGAAAATAATATGGAGGGTGAAAAAATAGATATAAGTAGTAGCAACAATTTCAGTTGTGCTGATGTGTGTGGTATGCTTCAACAAATAATAACTATTCTTCATCATATTGAAAACAAGCAAACCCAAATGATTGCAAATATGACTGAAGTCCAAGAAACTACACTGGCTGAAAAAACTTC